ACAGGTGTGGAACAGGTGTGGAACAGACAGGTGTGGAACACACAGGTGTGGAACAGGTGTGGAACAGGTGTGGAACAGACAGGTGTGGAACAGACAGGTGTGGAACAGACAGGTGTGGAACACACAGGTGTGGAACAGGTGTGGAACAGGTGTGGAACAGACAGGTGTGGAACAGACAGGTGTGCTGCATCCACACAGACCTAACAGTCTTTGAGGCACAATGATGAGAATCTAAAAAATCCAGGGTTACCACCCTAAGTCCTTGTTTACATGATGATGTCCATGGCAACGGAAACATACTACACTCCCTGTCCAATCAGAGAGCAGCTAGCAGCTGTCCACAGCAGCAGCCAATCAGAGAGCAGCTAGCGGCGGTAGACTCCAAAGGCCACCAGGCTGAAGAAGATGGTGATGCCCACCAGCGAGGCGGTGGCGGGGGCAGTGAAGAACTGTCTGTACTGGATCTGACAGTACCACAGGACGGACAGCATCAGAACCAGCAGGGGGACCATCAGGCTGCCCACGTTCAGGGCCACCTGGACCTGGTCGGTGGCACGCGGGCCCCCCGCGGCCCCCCTAGACATGTGCTGAGAGATGTGACAGTGAAGGACACAGTTATGGACCAGGTTCAGGGAGGCCAGGGTCCGAGCGTCATCCTGCAGCAGCTGACCCTGGTAGATGAGCCGGACCTGCTGCTCCTGGCCCGCAAAGTAGGTTCTGAAGGACCAGAGAGGACAGACACAGGAGGGATCAGTACTGCAGGACCAGATCAGTCCTGTAGGACCTGATCAGTCCTGCAGGACCAGATCAGTCCTGTAGGACCAGATCAGTACTGCAGGACCTGATCAGTACTGTAGGACCTGATCAGTCCTGTAGGACCAGATCAGTACTGCAGGACCTGATCAGTCCTGTAGGACCAGATCAGTACTGTAGGACCAGATCAGTACTGCAGGACCTGATCAGTCCTGTAGGACCAGATCAGTACTGTAGGACCAGATCAGTACTGCAGGACCTGATCAGTACTGCAGGACCTGATCAGTACTGCAGGACCAGATCAGTACTGCAGGACCAGATCAGTACTGTAGGACC